TTTTCCCCCCCCCCCCCCCCCCCCCCCCCCCCCGTCTTGTCGTACCTCCCGTTCGCGGTGCACCTCCTGGTTCTCTTTGCACTCAGACTGCGACGACGCCTTCTTACAAGCCCTCTCGCCCCCGTCCGCAGTCCTGGCCCTCTTGCGGGGTCCCTTGCCCTCCCGCCCGCCCGCCACCGCCGCCGCCGCCGCTGGCATTGGCTTTGAGCGCTTCACCGCCGGCGACACCTTCTTGAGGCTACGGCTGCCTTTAGCCTTCGCCTTCGGGGGTGACAAAGAAGTATTCGCATCTAAGCTTGATGCCAGGGGGCTCATCCGTGTCGGTGCTGGCGGCGGAGGTGTCCGAGCCGGCTTCTGGCGGCGTGTCGTTGGCTGGTGCGGTTTGGCACGGAGTTTTCGACATCGTTCCAAGAGGCATTTTGACGCGTGTGGCCAAGGGGACGAGCGAGGAGGGAAGTGTGATGTGAGACTTCGGGGGGGGGGGGTTCGAGAGGTCAGGGATGGCATGCAGGGAGTGTTGAAGTTGTCGCGATAAGGACAGGCGCCGAACCTACACGAGCAGCGTCACACCTACGCCAGGACCAAAGCCAACAGGGGCCTACAGCATCAACACCGACCACAACGCAACGTGGCACACCACCTTTACGGCCGCACAGGCGTACGCACTGCGACAGCCACGGCTACATCAATCAATACCACTCCACGTAGCACGACACCCACAGCCACCGAAATCATAACAGCAGCGGCAAGGGCAGCAACAAAACCACTTGCCGGCTGCAGATTGCACAAGATACCACACCCCCTGGACCGACTGTCAAAAAGCTCCATTACTAACCCATACGTTTCCGGGAAGCTCTGGACGCGGCGGTTCAAACGCCTCCCGCCATTTATCTACACCGCCACTTTTAGTTGTGGTGCGGAGAATATCGGGCGGTAAAAACCGGTCCAGGGCGTGTGGTATCTTACGTATGCAACTACTCCGGAGTGCGGTGCAACCGTCACGGCGTCGCGGCGACAAACCTACGACTTGACTCTCTCTTCCTCGCTCTCGACGAGGCCACCGTTCAACCCGAAAGTTTTTTTCAATGGGGCGAACATTCCTGCCACCCAGCATGACCCTAATACCGGCGTAGGTTGCATGACACAAGATGTCACACAGCCCGGGATCGTTTTTCAAAACCTGATTAGTCGGCAGGAAGAGCAGCGATGGTGCCGGGAAATGGCAGCATTGGAGCCGTCTTGTCGGGAGCTTTTCCCGGAAACATGTCACTTCATCCTTTCGTCGTGAAGCAATCGAGCTTTGAACATCGTCCAGGGGGGGTGGTTTCTTGCGTCACCTACTGTATGCAAGGCCGGCTACATTGTTCTGGGGAGTAACCTCAACCAACAAACACTCTNGGGGGGGGGGGGGGGGGGGGGGGGGGGGTACTCATAGTCGTGCATGCCGAAGTCGTTAGACCATTGACCTCATTCGGGGGGGGGGGATTGGCGCACCCATGCCCTTGCTTGCGTACTTTACCTCGGGCACCTCGACGGTGAACCTGTCGCGAGGAGTCGACTGCCTGGCGGCGATCTCCAGCGGGGTGCACGAGATGTAGGTCTCCTGCACCTTCTTCTCGCTTCCTCCTAAGAGGTACTTGATATCAAAGTACGACATCTGAACCATTTCGCCGCACACCTCCTCCTCGACTACCATCACCAACATGATACGCGGGACAGCAGTGTACAGTGTAGAGCAGTTAGAACCGGCGATCACACACCAAACCGTTTTTTGAGAAGCAAAGGCTCAGGTTGTGGAAGAACATACAGAAAAATCAACGAGAAACAAAGAATCAGATTTTGGCGGTGAAACAGAAGAAATCGACTACAAAACACACCTCAGACGTGGATCCTACAATAACCTCCATATAGTGAGCTATGCTCGACAGTACAGTAGTGGTGACGAAAGAGCCTCGACCCCAAACTGACGTTCCTTCAACGCTCGCGCTAACTGTATCGAGGTCGGTTCGGGGTTATGGGAGACGATGAGAAGGAAAGATGCCGGGCGCCGGGTAGCTTCGGCACGACAACACCAAGGGTAGAAACAGACAGGTGCTTCATAACGATAACAAATCGGTTCGAGGCGGTGAAAAGCCCGCGTGTGGACGGGCTGGGGGTCAATCATCTACCGACTGGAGGTGATGATGCTCTCCCGTTCGAGTGTCTACTGACAAAACGCGACATCATCGCTTGGCCAAAACGAGCCCGACATCAATCACCATCAACCTGATGCTCGAAGAGCCACCATCATCTACTCATCGTGCCGTAGGTAGCTGCAAAAGAGAACAACATCATGGGAGAAGAAAAACTTCCATGTGACGTCATGCGGCGACACCATCTCGCCCGATTACACTATTCAGGAGGTAGTATACCGCTCTGGCAATATAGCGGCCATGAGGAACTCAAACTTGTCTCCGAACGGCCTTTATATTTCTCAACAGAGTGGGACACACGTACACAATAGTTCGCGCAGAACTCAACATCCAACAAGAGCAATCATTCAATACTCGGAAGACCCCCAGCAACACGGCCGGTACAACCTACGACAGGACAGAAAACGAACGAAAGACACGAAACCGAGCGGTAACAACAGCGTCGCGTCCTACCGGTGTACTTCTTCGTGATGCGGCCGATCCCGCCGGGTTTGTTGCTGCCGGGCCAGCACCGGCGCTCCACGTCTACCGTCTTGTGAACACCGTCTGACCCTTGCGGGCACATGCACGGTCCAAACGCGGTCCCCTCCTGAAGTTTGCCGAAAATGAGTCAAGACAAGGGCAAGGCGGCACGCAGACGATATGATGGAGAAAAGTAGTCCGTCGAGGTGGGCTTCTATATTGACCGTCGATGGTTATGTTCTTGACGTCCACAGCCCGTCTCAGCCAGTCTTCCGCCTGTCCACTCTCTCGAGAACACATTTCCCTTGACGGTACATACCCTACCATACACTCCGGAGGTTCGTTCAACAGTCCCCTTGCAACAGAAAACAGAAAAAAACTTCATTGTCCTCATGGGTGACTTGCAAAAAGCAAATGGATAATACGCACACATCTCGGGAGGCGCCGAAAACGATTCTCGCAGCCAACACTGGCTACAAACACGAACATACTTTTAGGTTGTAGATTGCATGAGATATCACACCCCCCGGACCGATTTTCAAAGCTCGATTACTCGGCAGGGAAAGCAGTGACGGTGCCGAAAACAGCCGGAGTTGGAAACCCTCCCGTCGAGAGCCTTTCCGAGCACGTATCGTTTGCCTCCGGCATCCTCTTGGTCGTGGAATGATCGAGCTTTGACAATCGGTCCTGGGGGTATGGTATCTTACGCAAACCACAGTAGGTTCCACCTCACACCGCGGATAAGGTACGGTACAGTACGGTACGGTACGGTACGGTACGGTACGGTACGAGGAACCAAACCGCTACGACACCGCTGTTATTTCACGAACCTTCCCGTCCCCCTTCGCCTTGCCCTTCGGAGCGGCCCCAGCACCACCGCCGCCGGCTCCCGCGACGTCGCCGGGTGCTGCTGCTGCTCCGGCCCCAGCAGGCCCCACCGCATCACCACTCCGCTTTTCAGAGGCACCTCCCCGCTGTCCTACGTCACCACCCACGGCCTTCTCTCCCTGCGCCGCCTTCAGTCCGGCCTCACCGTCCACCTCCATGTTCACGTACGGTGCCTCTTGGGCCTCTCCCTTGCCTTCCACCGTCACCTCGACTTCCTCCACCCCGGCCTCAACTTCTACCTCCATGGCCGCCCCCTGGTGCGGAGTTTCTTTGATGTTGTCCGGCCCCACCATGTACCCCTCCTCGGAACCTTTGATGTCCCCCTGAGGGACCGATCCCGAAGGCTTCGGGGGCGACGAGCACTGCGTGACGGTGGCAGTCGTCGACGCCCCCCTCTGCGCGGCAGCCGCGGCAGCAGCAGTAGCAGGTGCAGCAGCGAGAGCAGCAGCAGCAGCAGCAGTGGCAGCACCAGCGGCAGCCGGAGAGAGTTCGGCGGCACATGACCGAGCAGGCTTTTCCGCAGGGGAAACGCACCCTTGAGAAGAAGTCTCCGTGCTACCTTCCACCGTGCGGGCTACGTCTGCCGCCGTAGCAGGCTTCTCCCCCGCAGCCGGTGCCTCAGGAGAAGCGTTTCCTTGAGAGGAGGAGGTCTGGGTGCTACCCTTAGTCGTGTGCGCTGGGTCTACCACCCCAGCCGGCTTTTCCGCAGCCGTCGCCTCGGGAGAAATTCCGATCACGGTGCTGCCCTTCACCGTGCGGGATTTGTCTACAACTGAACAAGGCTTGTCAGCGGGAGTGGGAGGTGCTCCAGCCTGTCGAAGTGGACAACAGCATTAAGTGAAAGGGAGGGATGCAGCCCAGGTTACCTCAGGACGACGGGGGGTAGGAAGCACATGGGTCTGTAACACAAGCTGTACCAGAGGTTTCACCTACAGCAGGTATTGAAGGCGAACGCCCGCACGCTGGGCCTCAGCGAGTAACGGCGATCTCGAAGAAGTCTCTCCTGGACTACATACCGCTACCAGCCCAAACAGAGCTGGTTGATATCACATGGCAGTGTCGTTTCGACGCCGCAGCGCGCGGCAGGAATAACACCGAGTATTCCCTTCCGCCTTCGGCAACGAGCGGATAAGCAAAAGGCGACACATCGTAGCCGACTTCAAGGCACAGGCAGCGTCGCGACTATCTGCAGCAACAGCGGGAGAGCTCTCGCCCACAGGGAGGCACAGTGTCCTGTGCCTTTTCAACACTTGTTCTTAGAATTACACATAAAAAAAAAGAATGACCACGCGATCGAGATATTGCCACAGTCTAAAGGGAGTGCTGAAGTATTTTCAGTGAGTGGAGGGAAACCGACTGGAAACTGGGCTTGCTTTGAGTCTGTTCCAGCCTACACCACCTTTTCACCTCTTGCGCTTGCTCCCGATCTTCGGAGGGAAGGGTTTGATTGCCCTTCTCCACTACCGCTGCCGCTCCCTTGTCCTGCCGCTTTTCTTCGGGCCTGGTAGACTCTTGCGGCTTCTCCTGTTCATGTCCATCGGCCTGGCGTTGCTGCCACTCCTTGTACTCGGCCAGTAGGCTTGGGTGAGAGACCACGTACTGCGGGAGCTGTAACAGGACAGCGACAAGAGGGGGCGGGGGGAAGCACTGCTGTGGCCCGCTGTTCCACGCGCATACCGGCAACAAATTTCGTTTGTTGATGTTCTCAAGACAAAAACATCTGCTGAGTACCTTTTCACATCCGTGTATACCGGTCCACAACTAAATAGTAACCGTACAGATGTGGAATGGCGGCGTTTCGAGTAAGGCAAGCTTTGTCCTCACGCCGACGACGTCGGCATTTCGATGGAGGAAACCGTAAGCGTTTCCTGGTATAGGGGTCTGAACCACTAATGACTTCGAAGGAACGCAGGCAGGTCTTTCAGAAGCCGAAATAAAAAACATTCGACCAGTTAGCCCAACCCATTAGACTAGCCAGCCCAACCCAGTAGACTACGCATTGCAGTCCGCGCTGACTGGTTTGGTTTCGGCCTCACTAGCTCCAAGGAGCATGCCAGTCAACTCACAAAGAAGACTGACTAACGAGACGAGTACACAGGTTTATATCAACAGCGCCGTATGCAACTAGCAATACCACAGCCACCATACCATAGCCACCCTCAACGGTGTCAACCCAACACTTCCATCTACACCGCGATCCGACCAGCACTCCACTAGCAACATCAGCGCTACCTCTTCATGCTTTCAACGCAACACATACCCACCCTCCCCTGCGGTATTACAGCGCCGAGAGCACTCCACTAGCAACATCAGAGCTACCTCAACGGTTTCAACCCAAATCTAAATTGGTATCCCAGCGCTATGACCCGACAGCAACCAAACCAGCATCACAGACAGCGGCACCCCTCACCTCGGCGGCCTCCATGGAACTCCCACTGTCACCACCACCGCCGCCTTCGGGCCCGCACACTGTCCATCCGCTACCCGTAAACCTCCAACCCTTGACTCCCTCCAAGAACTTCCACAAGCGTCTCTCGTCGGGCAGCTTCGAGCAGCTCTTGTCGCCCTTGCCCTCTGACGCCTGTTTCTCGACGCCTCCCTTCTCCTCACGCGGTTGGGTGGCGACACGCTCGTCCGCGGTCGTCCTTGCGGGGGCTCGCCCCTAGTAGATGGCAGGGTACGTTGCGCAAAGGGTTACACGGGCGGGCAGAGGGCATGAGCGAGCACAAACTACCACCTGGTACAGCCGTATGGGTGCATGCGCACTGGCCCTATTATCGTTGGTAGAAGAACGGGTCCAACCTATAGGGTGGCTTGGTAGAAACAAAATATCAAATATGTTCAAGTCAAGCCCGTCCTCCGAACCTCCCACAGCAACCTTCTACACGTCGAAATCGGTAATCAACCTACATACCAAAACCTGTGCTGTACCTCTGGCCGCCCTGTAGGATAAGGATGGTTGGGGGCCTGTGCGCGTTGACAACAATCGAGGTTATCTTTGATCGAAGGCAAGAAAGTATTTTATTACTATTCTGCTGTATACTCCACTCCTGAAGGTCACCAGCGACAAAAGGGGTGGAATGTGGAAAGTCTTGTACAGCAGTACCACTATGTACATCATGACGCCACGGCGGCATGAATGCTACAATAGCGATATTTCTCCTTTGCAACAAAAGCGTTACCGCGGCGAGGAGCAAGTCTCGAACAGCCAGCAGCAGCGGCAGTAGTAGCACTAGCAAGAAACGTCGTAGAAAATTCTACTGCAACTCCGGCCGGAAACTTCAGGGGAGGGGTGTGCTCGCATCAGTATTGCAAGATGAAATTCTATGGTGGCATCATATATAGCAATCTCCGCGCCTCATACAGCATAATAGGCGCTTACCAGTGTGGCACATTTTGCATATGAAGTGGATGCTTCGTCTGCGTTTGGGAATGGATTGTCTCCCTCTGTCTCTCTGTTTCTTTATACTATAAAAATCACTATCGTTCTATCTCTATATCTCTCACTCACCTCTACGGCGGTTGGGTTGGAGCCGGCCAACTTGGCAGGTCCAGCCACAACCTTGTCGTCCGTTCCTTGCTCGGTCGAGTCCGCCATGGCGCAGAAAGCCCTCGGGGTTGCTGATGTCTTGCCGTGGTGGAAGAAAAGTCGTGGCGAGACGTGGCACACGAGAGAGAAATATCGGGTAACGTTGGCAAATGTCGGGCATGAAGCGTTCGTGAACTGTTAACTTAATTCTGCACACGGCGTGGGGGGCGGCGGGGGGGGGGCGGGGGTCGATATAAGCGGTCTGAACAGGGCGGTTGGTCGATATAAGGCCCGCTGTAAGGCTGTGACCGACCCTAACAATGCAGTAACTACTACTGTAACCCAATGCAAACCCATCTCAAGCCGGAGACACAACGACACAGCAGTTGTTAGAGCACGAGCCTCGCTAACTTGAGAGGGGGGGTGGTTTAAGAGAGCAGGTTTGAAATGTTTGGATTGGACGACAGTGGGAAGTGAGAGAAAGACGGACGAGAAGAGAGAGAGAGAGTAGAATGCAAAATGCAGCACATCACAAATTTTGAGATTGCATTGCCCAATAGTGCTACCTCAGCGACTACAAACCCTGTTTGCAGCGGGCGGTTGTGTCCTCCTGTCTACAGCAGTACTTGAGCAATCTGGTGTCACCCGCAGTCCCAGACTACACGCCCGAAAGTGGACGTTGTGATTTACCCAAAATTACAAACCCAAACTCGGATTCGGAACGAGGCACATACATTACATGCCGCGTACAAGATGTGTGCGGCAAACGAGGCTACAGCCAGCTAGGGTGTGTGTCAGATAAGTCTATCCTCAAGTAAAGGGGCGTGAGGGCAGGCGCCGCTGCAGGCACCGCCATTCCAAACGACAGCATCTTATCCTCCCCGAGCAAGATCAGAGGGCGAGCAGAGTCCACTTTCAACTATGAGTGCGCCCGATGGGGTGGCATTGGACTCACCGCACGATGAAGGAAAGTAGAACAACCTGGTTCTGCGGAGCCCCGAGAATGTGAGAATGTGAAGACAAGCTAGCGAGCCTAGCCACACCACTGCTGCTGCTGTGCACCTCCTACTGGCAAAGTCAAGCCAGCAGCTCGCTCTCCCCGCAGGTCCTCCTGACCCGAACCACGGGGGATCGTGTATGTTTTGAGTTTGCGGAGCCCCCCCAAGCGATTTGATTGGCCAGGCACGGACGGACACAGCAGCAACGTCATGTACATCACTCGATCCCTCGCTCGCTCCTTTCCGTACTATCCCTGAAGTGATCCCGCTGATACAAACGATAGTACTGCTGTAGCTTGATTCCAGCACATCAACTCCTGTCAATTAACGAAGCGAACATCATGGCGAAGAAGAAGAAAAGCACGAAAAAGAAGAAGCGTGTGGCGGTGCACATCAGGGAGAACATCAAGGGCAAGAGAGAGGCCGCCGCCTCTGCGGATGGGGAAGTCGGTGCCGACAAGCGAGCGCCCCTGCTGGCAGCCCCTTTGGGCGTAGGGAAGCCGAAGCGTCCTCGAGAGCCAGGTGAGAGCTGCTGGTGCTGCTGTTTACTCGGTTTCTTGGCAAGCAGTACTGCTGTGGAGCTGTAGTGTGAGTACAAATACAAGAAGTAGCTGCCATTGAAGGCGTGTGGTCGTGTGGGTCGTCTCCCTCTGTTCGTTTGCAAGGAGATTACTCGTGTACATCACCGCAGGAGCAAAATGAGGTACAGCAGTACACCACGACTGAAGTGGATGGTGCGGTGCTCCCTAATGGACCACCAACGTGCCTATCGCGAAAAGCAGACGAACGGTGTGATGAGACAGGACCTGCCTCGTGAGGTAGCCGAACAGAAGGCGGAGATTCGTAGCACTACACTACACTCAGATATACGGCCACCCTGTGGTCGCGGGGAGTCGGTCGAAAGCTTACCTCGGAGTTCACACATCAGACTGGGTACCTGCCTACACATACGCTTTCGATGCAAATGACACCACTTGCCGATTTCGAATCGCCGCTGTTGTGCCTATGAACACTTTCCTCGACGGTGACTAGACCACCCATTTGCCTGTGTATTTATATGTACCGTATATGACACAAGATAACACACCCCCTTGACCAATTTTCGGAGCTCGATTTCTCAACTGCAGGAACAGTCACAGCGCCGAAAACGGCGGCGTTGAAACCGTCTTGTCCAGAGCTTTTCGAAAATGTATCGTTTCGTTTATGCATCCTCTTCGTCGTGGAGGAATCGAGCTTTGAAAATCGGTCCAGGGGGGTGTGTTATCTTGTGTCATATACGGTAGGCTGGTTCATGATGATGCGTAGCCCAGCGTGTAGCCCAACGCGCCGCTCGTCGCTCCCCCGATTCCGTCCCGAATGCCCGGCATACTTGGCCCTTTACCCTCGTGCGCCGCACGGACGACATCGTGTCTGATGGCATGTTGAACCATTGCCTCCCCTCCTGCTGTACAACCGCTGCCGCCGTTTGTGACTGCTGTTGGTACTGTTAGCAAACGATGCAGCGTCACTGGGGAAGGCCAAAGACGACCCTGCCCGCAAAGAAAAAGAGCGTACTGACGCGAACAACTATCTCGCGGTGAGTGCGTCGCGCTTTCCTACCAACACCGTCCAATCGTTTCGTGCACATCGGGTTGTACTGGTGTAGGTTGAAAAAGAGGAGTTCAATGCTACACCCCCTCGACCGGTTTTCAAAGCTCGATCACCGGAAGAGGCGAAGAGATCGCCCCCCCCCCCCCTTGACCCACTTTCAAAGTCCGGTTGCTCCACACCAAGCTTGTGCCAACACCAAAAATTGTGGGTTTGGAATTCATCTTATCGAGAACTAGCCGTAGAAGTATCGGACTCGTTCCGCGCCCCCTCGGTCGTGATGCAATCTACCTTTGAAAGTCGGTGTAGGGGAGGTGCCATCTTTCCGCCTCTCCGGAATATCACGGTACGGTAAAGACAATCTTGGTCGTGGAGTAATCGAGCTTTGAAAGTCGATCTGGGGGAGGTGCCATCTCTCCGACTCTTACGGTACTCTGCAGAAAACACATCGCTGGTGCCGAAAGTGGCGGCGTTGGAACCGTCTCGTCGAGAGATAGCTTTCCGAAAACGTTTCGTTTGATCTTGGCATCCTCTTCGTCGTGGAGTAGTCAAAGCTTTGAAAATCTGTCCTGGGTGCGTGGTGTCTTGAGCAACGTAGGTTAACACACTTCTGAAGCTTGGGTACGTCTCGACTTGTACTGCCCCGCTTTGGTGGGTTCGCCAAGGATTTTGTTCTGGCAGCTCCGAAGCGTGAATGTTAGACAACAGTGGGTTTGTCAACAGCTATATACAGCAGTAGTGGATGCGTCGCCGACCACGACCGAGCCGTGGGATGCTGGAGAATTATTCAGGTTGGCCTATCCCTCTCTCTGTAGAAGAAACATTCTGCGTAGGCTTTGCAGTGGATAGAGACGAGGACGAGCAACTGCTGTGGGGGCTGGACGACTACAACAGCTACCTTATGATAGTCCAAAAACTATATTGTAACCTACGGTAGTTCTACTTGGCGGGGGGGGTGTACTCATTGTCGTGTATGCGGGTATGCGGTAGTCATTTGACCGTTGAACTCGAATCACTACAAAGCCGGGACTGTAGGGGGGGGGAGGTGTCACAGCCGTTTCTCTCCACGAGACAGTGTAATCGTTCACCGGGGTTTCAATATAGTGTGCGTTATCGAAACGCCTTCGCCGAATGCCGATAAGTCGCGTGGTGTGTTCCCGCTCGGGCATTTCTCTAGGTCCTGGTGGAAAAGTCGACAACATTTGAAATCCCTCCTCGTCCAGCGGCGCCATGATGGTCAGCATTTTTTTTCGCGTGTCGGAACTGTAGCTTTCGTTATTTCAACCTGAGGAGTGGCACTGGGACGGTGGTTGACAAAAAACACCGCTGTCACTACACATCAAACTACTATAATTTTTTCTGGCATTTACTCTGTCTCCTACCCTTACGTTTGTGTGTGTTGCACGGCGTGTTTCGGCTTCGCCCTTGCAGGGATGGCTGGCCGTACGCAAGGCGAAAGAGGCCGCCGAAGAGGCGGGAGTTGCACCGCCTCCCGCAACAGGCGTGTGGAAGTTCAACAAGAACACACAGGCCTGGCTACTTCGGCATGTCTTCTCTGATGATCAGGTCCGTTTCTCATGCTGCTCTGCCCGTCCCATTGTCCGCCTGTGGGCCGCCCGCGGGACGATGGGTGCTCCATGGTCCGTCCCATGGGTCCCTTGGACCGTCCCATGCATCCCGTTGTCCGCCACAAGCGTTCCATGGGCCGTTCCATTCGTCTCATGGGCCGCCCGTCACTGGCAAAGCTCACTCAATCCCGTTTTCCTTCTGCACGATAGACCCCCCTTTTCTCCGTCACGCCCGTGTGGGGGCACACAGAAGGGATTAGGCCTTGGTTGCTTGCATATGGACATGTCACATGGAACGCCATGCCTACGCGATACGTGAAGGAAGTGGCACTCCTGTGTGGATTGCAGCATGAGATGAGGTGCCTCGGTAGTATAGTGGGGCACTTCTCATCGCACGGATCCGTACGCCATGTCTGGTGCCTACCGTTGGTGGAGGTCTACAGCAAACGGCGACGTTGCACTCAGAGTTGGCACCACGATGTGATGGTTGTTGGATGCGGCACTCCAACGAACGTCGACATGATGCTGTGTTGCGTTGTGCTCACTTCGATGCATGGTTTGATTTCGTTCTTTCTCGCCCCACCCGCCGAGATGTGTCTTATTCTCCTTTGTGACCCCCCCCCTCCCTCCACCCAAGGCTATCAAACTATTTAGAGACAAATGCGCACACTGTCACATCGTTAGTTCTGCCCGGAAGCTTCAGTTTTGCATTGTTCCGAAGCCAACATGTCACCTCCGTAGTCTATACCTTTTTCACTGCTGTTTTGTGGACAGATCGACGACAAGAGGTTTGAGACTCTCTGCCTGTATCTCGAAGGCCTCAAGGGAGCTGGCCGACAGGCGAGTTGTAGCGGGAAAAAACCGGATGGCAGCGTTGGGGAGTGTCTTGCGTCGACGTTTTGTCGGTAAAAGCGTTGCTGCTGGGGGGGAGGCTGTCTAGTGTGTTTCGTGAATGAGAGTATCGATGGCGTGATCGACTGGTTGAGAAACGAAGAGAAAGACATAAGCCTGAGACGAGGTTCTGTAATCGAAAAATCTTTTCCACGACAATCCCTTCCCCGCCACCGACTTGGGTGTGGATGTGCTGTGAAAACAACCGTTTCTCCATTGTGTCTTTCCTCTAGGAGATGTTGAGGGTTGGATCACGCCCGTGAACGTCTAGAAGGGATCGATCGTGTTGTTTTGTTTTTGTCTGGACATGGCAGGGGCGGTCCCGTTTGGTGTTCCAACTTGTGCATGGATTTCTGTCCCTAGCTGTAGTTCAGGCAGTCAGATGTTGGGAGGCACTTTAATAGCCGCCGGTGGTCTGTTCTTCTCCCGTCTTTCAACAGTTCCGCATACGTCAAACATGAGCAGTATATCTGCCTCCAAAGCTATGCACACGCTTAGTGCTTTGGCCGAGATTCATACGCAGACAAAGAGGCAAAAGGCAACCACCCTTCCGAGTGACGAAATTTTATTGACTGAACGTCGTGGTTTCTACCTCGCACGCTTGATGTCTTTATCTTAAGTTTGTATTCTCCGACGGAAGGGAGCAAGTGTGGGAGTTCAGGTTGGGGGCACTTAGTAGCATGGCTGCAATCTCGTGAAAGCCCTGAACGATAGCCCTGCAGCAAGCGGAAGTCCTGCGTCATGGCACCTTCCTGCCCACAGCATGATGTTCTTACTCGTTGAAGGGAACGAGTCGTCCCGCTTTTCGCTCGCTCGGCATCTTCCTGCCCACAGCGTTATGTTCCTACTCGCAACAGCTGACGATTTGTCCCGCATTTCCCTCTCCCGTCCGAAATCACGCCGCGTTTTCCTTCATCTCAGCGGGTGCTGGCCGCCGCACAAGCGATCATCGACAAGCACGGCCCCGATGAGGGGAAGGAGCAAACGGCGGTGGAACGCGAGGCAGCGGCAGCGGAAGTCGCGACGGCTGACGACGAAACCGTCACGAACGAAACGGCAGCGGTTGTCCCGAGCGGGTACAACAGCGATTCCACCGACGACGAGGCGGAGGATAATGATGGCGGCGCTTTTGCGGTGGAACAGCAGGCGGGAGGGGAAGGGGGGGTAGCGGCGTTAACCCCGGCGGCGACAAAAGCAGGCAATGCGGGGGAATTCTCTTTCGGGTTCTTTGATGGCACCGCTGAGGAGGCGACCTCCAAGACGGCGGCGAAGGAGGAATCAGATAGCGATGGTAGCAGCAGCAGCAGCGATGACGAAGAGGGTGGCGACGGTGGAGGTGCGGTGGAAGACCTGTCGCCCGCAACCAAGAAGCCGAGGAAAGCCCGATCAGCCTTGACCGGCAAGTCTAAGGCGGAGGCAAAGGCTAAGGCTGCCGCGGTGGCGTACGAGAGGGCCCTCCAGGTAGCAGAAGTGCTCGCCTAGAGGCACTCGTCGTACCAGTGGTAGCGTTCGCAACCCGTACAACTCGCCATGTAGGCGGCCGAAACTCTCTACTACAACTCGCCACGTAAGCGGTCGAAACTCTCGATACAGAGGTTAGCGCCCGCACTCTAGAACCACTTGTGGTCATGCTACGAATGGACGCCGTATAGGTTGTAATGTAGGGGCTCTTACCCGAGCTCACAGATGGTCCTCAAAGTTCTTAGATTTTTAGTTGTTTCGAGGTTCTATTGGTTCACTGCGAAGTTGTCAAGTGACGGCGCCAACTCCAAAGTAGTGATCTGCGAGAGCACCAGCTACTATGTTACTGCAATATCTGCATTTGTACCCCTCACACAGACTGCCACAGTCGACTCTGAGCAAACGTGCAAGTGACGCTCATTTCGTGCTGGCTTCCGCCTGTGGCGTGCTCTGGCGTTGTGGGTGCAAGTTGTGTGCTACCTGTCCGTGATTGGTGTGTGCCGATGAGGAGGTGTGGTGTGGCTGTTACCGCTCTGCTTTGTTTGCAAGGACGAATATGTAGTAGTCGTTGGTCTCCTACTTGCGACGCCTATGTATCATAGGTGAAGCCCATTTCTGTACATGTCAGTCTTTTGTTGAAATTCGCGATGCATGTGGCTGGTATCATATGGCATCAGGTCTGAAGTAGCTTTGCGTCTTTCACGCACATGCGAGAAAACTTGTTGGTGTACAATAAGCTAAACGCACGAAGTGGTCCCATTTCTGGTGTCTGCCCTTCTTGATGTGCAAAAGCAGACACATGGCAGTCCTGGTTTTGCTTTAATCTTTCAAAACTTTTCTGTGGCAACCCAACCGCTGGTAGGCACAAGGGCAAAGAGGAGGAAACGTCCCCAATACGCAGGACGGCAATGTTCGGAAGAAATGAAGTCCGTGCTCTCTGGAGCCTACTACTTAGTACACCTCTGGCCATTGTTGCAGCGTTAAGTTCCTGTTACTGTACGTGACACCATGAAATTGGCTACTACACCAATATCCACAAACATGTGCATGGGTTCCCCGACAGCGATCAGAAAAATAAACCATCTGTACAACATGCTCCGAGCCCCCTCCCCCCCCACTCCTAGAATGAGGTCGACGACGCTCCCCGTCAGCACAACGGGCTCGTAGGAAACAAATACCAGTTTGATTCATCAGATAGATAGCTGTGACCATCTACGTTAGCCTAGTCACCGGAGTAAAGAGCGGGGAAGGGTGGGGGGGGTGTCGGAGTTCTTCGGAGCGCTCAGCCTGACACCGGCGATGAAATAGCCTTTAGACATAATCACACACTGAATACGAACGTGGAACATATTCTGAGACTTACACCCCCCTTGTGCTAATTCTAATCCTACCTTACACAGATGAGCCACTCTGTACGTATTATCCAATACCGGTTACTGTACGCAACACGCTCACGGCACACCCAAAAAACAGGCCAGGCTTCGACTCGAATTACTCCTCCAATACTGGTCGTCTGTCCCAAGTAGTAACCACGTGTCCGGTCTTGCTTCTGGGCCTCACTTTGTACGCGACACACTTCTTGATTACGTATAATAGTCCTGGGGTAGCCCCGGCCTCATCTTAAGCCCTCTTCGTTTCTCCCCAGGGAAGGTATGTACGTGTAGGGTCGAGTATGACAGAACTTGTTCGGGGTGAAGGATTGTTGTTAAGTCTGGATGCGAGAGTCCATCCATCCATCTGTGTGAAATAAAGGAAGGAAAGAAGGAACAAGGAACAAACAACATATTTTCCCGTTTTTGACTTTAAACCAATTGACGTTTGCATGAGAACGAAACGGAGGGGGGGGAAAGACAGGGGGCCATCGATGACGGCCGTCACCGTGATGACGACAGCAGCATTTTGAGCAGCAAAGGCCACTTGTTTACGGGTAGAGTGGGAACCGTGAAGCACCGCAATTACCCGGGTTGAAAAATACGGCAGAGAATGACCGAGGGCAGTCCCGATGGGTTAGCCAACGGTGTGAAAGGCAACATGAGGTGGAATTTCATTGTTGATCGCCCCAGCATATGCCTGCAGCACGACGAATACCGCAAACAAATGGCAAACCGCAAAAAGACAAAGTACAAACCAGGAAGAAAGCCGGAAAGGGCAGCTCGTCCAGACGAGGAAAACAGCACAAAATCCATGACGACAAGGGCAAGGATGAGATCTAGTGCAAGGCAGGCCTCACTTTGTACGTGGCACACTTCTTGTTTCGTATGTCAAACCGACGTGTTACATTCGGCAGGTAGTTAAAGAGCAATCAACACTTTGAAGAACCTAGACCGAGCCCTTATAAACAATCATGTCCCTGAACAAGTGGAATACGTTAGTTACTGCCGTAGCAATGTGTCGGGGGAACTGAGGACCACGATCGGCGAGGTTACGACCGAACGTTTCTCATCTGCGGTGCCTCTGCTGCCGGAACAGCAGGTCTTGTCGCTGCTCAACAACGAGCTGTGCACGCGGCCGAAAAAATTCACAAGATGGGCCGTTCGCCATCTAGATTATATCCCAACGACTACTTGTATGTACGCTCCAACAACAACCAATGACACAGCCTTAACACATGGCACATAAATAAAAAAATCCCTTGCGATAAATTAACTTGCCATCCCAACATAGCCAAGGCCCCACCTATGTCTATCTGTCAGTAAAAATAAAAACAACCTTAGCAACCATCGCCGCAAAAAAAAACGCGTTCCGCGCTCTCCCCGACCAGAAAGAATCAATCGCTGGAAAGGTCACACGAGACGCATTGGAAGTTGAAGACCCTAGAAAATCTTTGCACGCTGTCTACATGCCCCTGAACACGCCAGGGACATGTCATCTATGACGGTCTCGTGCAACGCTGTATGCCATCATTCATCCTCGACAGCGAGACTGAGTCGGCCTGATAGGGCCATCTAGCCATTTCACTTAGATTGAGCGGGTCTGCTAAGGCGATCTAGCCATCTATTTCGCATTGTATCACCCAAGTCAGTGCTATAATGCGGTTGTACCGCCCCCGCCCCCGCCGCCGCCGCCGCCTGTTGTACCCCCACCCATCCCGGCCGTGGGGAAGTCTTGCTCTTGCACGCCCGTGATGCGGACGTCGGTCCCGTCGATGTTGTACTTCTGGTCGGCCAGGAGGTAGTGGAGTAGAAGCATCTCCATGATCCCGTGGCTGTTTATCCTGTTCGTGCTGGCGTTGTACAGGCTAGACCCGAGCTTCTTCTCGATCTGCTTCTCCTTGGAGTCCGCGTCCACGTTGACGAACACTGCGCCCACTACCCCCACGATGGCTCCCGCTATCCCTCCGACTATGGAGCCCGTTCCCCACGTAAAGGCGTCCGTGGGCCACGCCAATCCAGCCCCCGTAATCGCGCTAGCGGCAATGCCACCGGCGATGGAGGTGCTGGAGGCAAGAACTTTGTACGCCAGCTGGTCGAAGGTCACCTGTTCGTAGAACTCGGCGACGCAGGAGCGGAAGATGTACTTCCCGCGGACCTTGTGGCAAATGATGAGGTGGCCGGTGAGGTGGACGTTGTGCATGCCCTGCTCGTCGCAGCAGTAGTAGGTGGTAGTCTTCTCCAGGTCCGATTCGTCGAAGTCGAACCACTTGAACCTCCTCCTGTAGAACCTCAGCGACTGGAGGACGCCCTCGGGGGTATCGTAGACGGCCGTCCGGGCCATGATGGTCGACTTGAACGACGTCAGGGTCGAGATGTTGTCCACCGCCTGCTTCGCCTGCTCGTCGACGGGCTTCATGCGGTACAAAGACTCCTCGGGGGCAACAGCAGTAGCGCCGTCCTTGACGCCGGCGTCGCCGTCGGTGCTGTTGGCGGCGTTGTTGGTGTTGTTGGCGGCGTTGTTGGTGTTGTTGGCGGCGCCGGTGTTGTTGGCGGCGTCGGTGCTGTTGGCGAGCTGCTCGCTTTGGACCTCGAGCATATTCCCAGTCTCAGAAGAAGCAGCAGGGGAGGCGTCCTGGCGGGAAAAGCGGAAGGTAGTATGCACATCGTTGACTTCTGTTTCATGGAAACTCTGTTGGGTTGTGCTGGGGTTAGCCGGAGGACCAAGGTCGGACTACTCCGAGAACATGAGACACGACATCTAGCCGGGCTGGTGCGGAGGAATTCAACCGTAACCTTGCTCGGTAGAAGCGCCGCCGCCGCAGCAGCAGCAGCAGCAGTAGAAGGTGCCTGCTGTAGGCGCAAAGGCGAGCTCGTACGAGGCGGGAGACAAAAAGCAGGACCGAAACCCGGCGTTGCATCGAATTATCCGCGCCGTCAGGAACAGTCTACAAGGTGAAATCTGCCACCTAATACCGGCGCACCTGCGCGCAGTAATATAATCACAGGGTCTCAGTACCACCGCAAACTAAGAAATCAGTCCAGGGCGAACAGATACAATTTCAGCGGTAGGTACTACTGTATCTTGCGCTCGGCGGTCGCGAAGAACCAAGAAATTGCGCGTGCCCCCCCCCCCCCCCCCCCCCCCCCCCCCCCCCCCCCCCCCCCCCCCCCCCCCCCCCCCCCCC